CTCCCGCGCCACGGCCCTCTTCAGCTCCACGTTGTTGCCGTCCAGGACGTGCGGCCTGGCCGCCATGGCGGCGTCGGCCTCCTCGGGGGTCGAGTAGGTGACGAAGCCGAAGCAGCGGGAGCGCTTGAGCTGCTGGTTCTGCACCACCACGCAGTCGGTCAGCTGCCCGTACTGCTCGAAGTGCTTGCGGAGGCCGTCGTCCGTGGTCTGGACGTTCAGCCCGCCGACAAAGAGCTTACACAGTTGGTTCTCCATTATGGTTCAGTTTGCGCCGCCCGTCACCGTGAACAAGCTTCTCCTCGCCTCTACGCAGCAGTGCCGCCGGTCTGCCCGAAGCGCAGTTTATAAAGGGCTGCTCTGACGTCACAAAGAGATGACGTCTGGGTCTACAGACCCTCCCACCTCGCGCATTCCCCCCCGCGTTGTTTTTCGTTAGTGTGAGCAAAAGCATTGGATTTCATGGTAAATTTGGCCTGACTCTGTTGTGGGTAATTCTCCTTTGCTTTTTACACAATCTGGGCAGTAAGTGTATGCGCATCTGTATACAGTACGCAGATATCATCTCCCGAATCATGTAAAAGGTACCTGGATAGAGATTGCCGGACTGTTATTCCCTGTAGTCCAGGTTAAATTATAATAATCTGAGTGAAATCCTTGAACAGTATAATGCTTATATGTGTTTTTTTTAAACCTGGTTTGTCTCTTTTTTGTTTACTATGTGTTAAACGACCAAAATACAAATTTAAGCATTTCTTTTATTGTTTGACCTACATTAAAAATACACAGTCCCTACCATGGTAGTTTGGTAGTCCAGACTACCATGTTCAGCCTTCAAACTGAGAGACTTAATCCATTACAATCCATTACGAGAGGCAACTGAAGGGATTATTGGCCGCGTGTCTCACAAAAATGAGATTTCTTTTCCAGAGGCATCCTAATGTCTGCACACAGAGGAATTGAAAATTGGCAACGATTCTGAAGTTACTGCTAATAAGAGGCTAAAAGCAGAACAACGGTGGATAAAAGATGATTTGTGAATACTGCCTGGTTTCAGGCTGAAAAGTTGTTCAGCAGGAACACATATTTTATCTTAATGCGTTATTGCATTTTGTTAACACAACTAGTTGTCGGTTTTAATAACAACCCCGTTCGGCCAAACTTGTATAAAGATACCCTTCAACTACATGAAAATCTCATCTTAAATCTGGTCGTCAGACATTCTTACTCTGCGAACTGCTGGCTTTCACAGTGTACCCTTGGACTGAGAAAGTTTGGAAACATTTCACGTATACTGTTTGATTTTTTTCTACTACTATTTTCATATTCAGTATTATACTACTATATGGTATAAAAGACACTTGTCTTTCCGAAGTATCTTACTACCGTGGAGCTGTAAAATGGCCTTTTTGCGAACCGGGGACAAGCAACCTGACATCCAAGACCATCTGTTTTCTTAGGAATACCGGTATGTTGTGAAAGGTTTGTTGGGGGTGTAAGGTAAAAGCTAGCACGGATGCGAATTCTATCGCGTCAATTAAAATCAGAAAAAAGACGCAGTTAGGAATAAGCTTAATTAAATCACATTATAATCCTCTCTTTTGAAAAGTTATTTTCCCATACACAGAATCTGGGTCCATTCTCGCCTAATGCAATGCAAAAACAGCATGACAAGTCGTCCTCCCCATTTTCTTTAAAGCGCCTTAGTGGAGTGTCCAGAAAAGCGCTCTTTACTTTTAAGGTATTGCTATTAAGTCATTGGAATGGAAGATAAAGTACGGTTTTTATTTTTTATTTTTTTTTGTTATTGTTAATGGCAGCTACTAAGCTGAAGAGGGGAGAAAATGATCGTGCTACTTAAAAGTATAAGCTTGCCACGGCAGAGCGCAGTTGGTCACGCACAACAGAAACCGCACGAAAACGATTGCCGTTAAACCAAATCAGTTCAGGACAAAGACGCGCTGGAAAAAAAAAAGAAATACGCTCTGGTTGGGGGCCCAGAACAGCACTCGGTCTTTCTAGACTACTCAGTCTTTTATCAAAAACAAAAATGTAATCTTCCAAGATACTTTATCGATTTAGTTCACATCGAATACATTAATTAATCATCGACTTTGAAAATCATCGATCTTTGGAAAGCGAATGACATATTTTATTTTTCTCTTTGAGGCCTGAGCCCGAGGGCGGTTGTGAGACATGCTGGGGAGGGGGAGACCGCAGGTTTGATTGGATTGGAGGGCGGGTGAGAGGCTGAAACTACTGGCATCTCCACAACAACGGCCGAGACATTAGCCGCCCGTACGTTACAAAGGCCCTGCCACTCCGGTCTCCTGCTGTTCACAGAGGCTGATGAAATACTCGTGTTTAAATGAGAAAGATTCGCGGAGTGCGAGAGATATGCTAATTAAGCACTCCGAAACCCTGACCTGGGGGGTGGAATGACTCAATTTTAATTCATTGTCTTTTCAGACCGGTTTTTCCTTCTTTTAACCCTCTGAGTTCAGTTTACCTGGCTCAGTTACCGCTGAACGCTCTCATATATTCTGTTTGCCTATCAGGAATGGTCCTTAATATGAATCTATGCCTCAAAAGATATACATAAATCAGTATTTTGATAACAGTGCTAGATAAAAGCCTTTGTCATAAAAAAATGCATACACGTATCACGAAGATGCGTGTAATAACAGGAGAGGCACTCCATGTTTTCAGTCTTTAAACTCAAGAAAAAACAATACAGTTTGCTAGGTATAAAAAACGCAACTAATACCCCACGTAGAAATGTGTCATAAAAGTCGATGTAATTGCCTTTTAAGTCCAGCAAAAGACAGTGGCGAGCGTTGCTGCCTCGCAGCGCTGGGGTCCGGTGTTCAATTCCCAACCAGAGATGCTGGCTGTGTGGAGTTCGCACGTTCCCCCCGTGTGTTTCCACTGGGAGCTCCGGTCTTCTCCCACAGAAGGTTAATTGGCTACTGGGAAAATTGGCCCTGGTGTGTGTGTGTGTGTCTGTGTGCTCCCAGGGACAGCCTGGTGTCCCATCCACGCCTTGCACTTGTATCTTGCCCGGATAGCTTCTGGCTCCCTGCGATCCTGAACCGGAAGAAAGGTTCCGAAAATGGATGGATGGATGGACCATCCTTCAGGATTTTACTTCAGGATTTACTGCTGGGGAACAAAAACACCACCTGATTGTTAATAGAGGATGAGCCAACACCTCCACCTACTGGTAAAACCAGGAGCAGGGGTGTCCATAACTAACCAGATGAATGTAGGTATTCAGATGTGTATGTGACGTTTCGGCCGTGGAGCCTTCTTCAGGTGTGGAGGTCTTCAGGTGTCACACCTGAAGAAGGCTCCACGGCCGAAAAGTTGTGTTTTCTTTCTTCTTTTTTTCAGCATGGAATAAACCTGAACTACATATAGTAAATATACAAATGCGTTTTGCATGTGCATATATATATCTGAGGATTTATTTTCATGGTGATAACCATTTACCATTAAATTTAACATGAGCTTACTTTAACAATTAAAACTGGTAGCATCGTACTTAAAAGAAGTTTAAGTCCACACCCGAAGAATGCTCCACAGCCGAAACGTTGTGTTTCTTTTCTTTACTTTTCAGCATGGAATAAACCTTTACTTGTTCCATTATACCTTAGTTTATTTTAGCCCATAAGATAATTAGCCCACCTTTTGTAAACCTATTTTATACCGAATATTAACCGCAAAGGCTATCACAAAACACAATGTTATAATTAATATTTATTTCCATTAATAATAAACACCAAAGAACTGGAACATTTTAAATTGTCTAGTTATCAAAAGAGAGAAATATGTATCACCTCACTAAATAAAGACACGATTGGTAATAAACTACAGTGGCCATCATGCACCGCGCTGAGGAACTCAATTCGGTTATCGCGAGAGTTGTTTGCTAAGCGCAGGACAGGAGCTGAATTCAAATTTTGACGGGCAGTTGCTCCAGAACCGAGGGAATCGGTTTTAAAAAAGGTAAACTTGTATAGACATACAAAGAATAACTTAATTTCGTGGCGTCATTTTATTAGAATAATGTCCAGCTTGGTATAAAGTTGGTTGTAGATCATTTTTTTTTTACTTTTAGTAATGGTGTTTGTCGAGAACAAAAGTACCCCACTCATGAAGTTGAGCAGAGTATCGACTTCAGTTAAAAGACATTTAAGGTGTTTGTAGGGCTGGGGTTCAATCATGATATAATGTGAGTAAGGAGCTCCGAGGCTGTGGAGAGTAGTCCTTGCAATACGATTTAGGAAGCACTTTAAAGAAGTACCCGAGAATGGCGAAAGTGTGGGTAGAGAGCTGTCGTGGGTGTTTCAAACCCGCGTTTGGTCTGCTGGCTCGCTTGTAAGTCGTAGCTCAGTCACATGGACCAGCAGCTGGCCAGCCTCATCCCCTGGGGAGAGCGGGGAGTCGCATTTGCACGGCAGGGGCTTGCGGTGTGTCTGGTGCACAACGGAGCTGGCGGTCCGGGAAGCACCGCCTTGGCCAAGCGAGAAGAAGCGCTTCCTTTGCACTGAGTGTCCTGTTACTCTGTTACTCTGTTATCCACCCCCATGGAAGAGCTCCAGGTCCTTCTTGTGTGCAGGAACGGCCCCCGACCGCATAGTTGCTCTCTGCGATCACGTTGCTAAGGAGAGGGGCTCTGTGCAAGCAGCCCCCTGTCCAGCGCCGCCACCGGAATGCCAATAGCACGGCCCCTGCGGGGTGAATGCTCCCTTTATTTCGCCGAAACCGAAAAGACAAACCCTCTCTTACTGAGCAGCTCGTCTCCTTGCTGTCGGGTGCATGGCATTACAGAAAGAGGGGAAATTTGGTGTCTTTTTCTCGGTGCTCTCCTGCCGAAGATGGTGAGAAAATCTTTTTTTTTTTAAAATGTCGCTCCTTTACTTTTCCTTTTCCATCAAGTTTTATTTTTTATTAACGTCCTGTGGCGAGGTGTAAGTTTCCCTTTTCGCTATACGGTTCATTGCACAACAGCGGATTGTTTTACACAGCACTCCGACACAATTGAACAGATGGCAAGTTTGTGTTGTGCTTCTTAAGTTACTTGGAGACCTTAATAGCGATCATTGTTACCTTGATCTACCATCAGGACTGAGGGCTCACAGGCTGATATGCGCCATGTTTGTGAGCAGAATCTGTCCTTACAGACAGAACGTTTCTCCTCAGCCCGTGTGTCTCCTGTCCTTACAGACAGAACG